CACTTCTTTAAGTATATAAATGTTGAATAACTATGGTGTACACCTGAAACTAATATAATATTGTATGCTAGCTATATTTTAATAAACATTTTTAGAAAAAGGAAAACTCAATGAAGAATTCTTTTCCTCAATCTAGGATACAATATTACCACCCAATTTCTTTATTACAGAATTCGAAGTTCCTTGTTCACAATAATCCATTTATTCTGCCAATATGCCTAACCTCTATTTAAAGTACTGATTAACAAAAGTATAATAATATGGCCAGTTGAATATACAGTGGCAATGGTAAGTTACACATTCTTTTCAGTCAGCAGCTGCTTGAATGTTTTCCTCTAGAGGAAAGAAAAATGTTTGTAATTTGATACCTGGTTTGGAAAGTAGTTTTGTTTTGTTTTTTTAATAAAACATTCTAGCCATGAAGTCCATAGGAAAGACAGGGTACTGGATGAGTAGATAAAATTAACTGTTCTTTAAAAAGCTAAGTACAGAAACAATCAACAGGGAGAGTTTTAAGGCAGAAAACACAGTTACCAAGCCTTTAGAAATATCTATTTCTTATTTTCAATTTGTATTTATCCCAAGGAGCAACACATTAGGAGTTTGAACAAAGAAATACTTTGCTGCAGATACAAACACTGTTAGTGCTGCTAGTGACCTTACTTTTCCCGGAGTTCTGCCTCTTTGGACACAGTTTCCTGCAGCATCTTGTTGTGCCTTTCTAGCAGAGTATCGTGTTCAGACTGTAATGTTTGAAGTTCGGATACATGGATCTGTAAATTATTTTGGGTATCTTGTAATTTGATTTTCAGTTGGTCAACCAGAATTTCCAGGTGTTCTCTAAAACAGAAATAAACAATTTAAAAATTTTGAAAGAGATGAGAACATGATTTTGTGGTTTCAAATGAATTTTACTTTTAATTTTTCAATGTCATATTCCTGCTGTTGTTATGGATGACTCTAAAGGAACTATAATATTCAGAAGAATTCAGAGACTAGGATTAAATATAATGCAAAAGACATTATAAAAAACAATAAAAAGACAATAGATCTCAGGCACTACAGATTTACAGAAAGTTTCTGAACTTATAAATTTCATATTTAAATGGAGCAGACCACAAATGGCATCAAAATAACCTATTTTATGTTGTAAGACTATGCCATTAATTTTTAAAAAAAATCATACAGTTCTAAACTAACCATTATGAGAACGGTACATCAGCCCAAGTTATAGGTAAACAAAGTTCCTGGAGAAAGCAAGTCCCTGGAAAAGTCGGATTTCATAGTTATCATGTTCCAACTCATAACTTTGCCACAACTGGTACAATACACTTAGTTTTTGTTTGTTTATTTGTTTTTAAGTAATGTATAAAAAAGTAAAAGCAACCTAAAACATTTTTAATAAAATAATTTAAACCCCAAATTCTGGTATCATTAAAAAGTTTTTAAGTCTTGCAAATGGTGATATTTTTATATTGTGTCAATATTCAACTTCAGCTTTAAGATGAGCTATTTATAGAGAAAATAGGTCATCATTTTCAGCCTACAGTTCCTATATTTAATAGACACATAAACAAAAAGTAACATAGAGATAAACATACAAACACTGCAGGATATTTAGTCCTACTGAGAACAGTAAGAGCCAGATATAGAGCTGCTTGAACACTGAACTTCTACTTAGAAAACATAACACATACTGTGGAATGCCCTATCTTTTATTCCTAATACATTTAAAAATAATTATAAATGTGATTTGTATGCTAGACATATTAAACAATAAGCTATTGAAGTAGTAATTGAGATGGTCATCAACTTAAAAGGAAAAATTTAATTCTAGGCCAAAATTTGGTACTTATTTTAAAACCTTTTGAAATAAGTAAAATGTTAGGCAACTTCTGTTAAGCATAATTAATGGTGAATAAGTACATCATGGAAGCATTTTTATTCTACTTCTAAATCTTCAAAATTGGAAAATTAATCATAATGTAACTTTAATGTTCGTATTTCTATTAGGACCAAATTGTACAAAATGAAGTTATTTCATCTACAAAGACTATATCCTGGTTTCACTGTTTACTTTACACATATTTTTGCATTTATAACAGTGCCCTTCATAGTGACATTTCCTTGTTGCTGTTTGGGGACACAGTGAAGCCAAAAACTCTGTTCTCATTGGTAACTACATGTAAACTTACCAGTCAAAAGAAATCAAAGTAGGATTTCAACCTACTTGGTGGAGAATCAACCTTGGGGAGAAAAACCCTGCATATTTCTTATAACTCAGACTTTACCTTTCTTGTTTAGTTCCCTCGGTTTCAGCCTGAGACACAGATTTACTTTTCTGTTGTTTTAGAACATTATGAACTCGGACTTTGTAGCT